ATAATATAGAAATAAGTGAGTTAAGTTAGACAGTTAGATAGTAACCCTTGAACCTTTGGTAACCAGAATTCAAAGCCTGCAAGGCAGTAAGTACATATCTATCAATAATCACCCTAAATGTAAATGGACTGAATGAACCAATCAAAAGACACAGAGTAATAGAATGGATAAAAAAGCAAGACCCTTCTGTATGCTGCTTATAAGAGACTCACCTCAAACCCAAAGAAAGCACAGACTAAAAGTGAAGGGATGGAAAAAGTCATTTCATGCAAACAATAGGGAGAAAAAAGCAGGTGTTGCAGTACTAGTATCAGACCAAATAGACTTCAAAACAAAGAAAGTCACAAGAGACAAAGAAGGACATTACATAATTATAAAGGGGTCAGTCCAACAAGAGGATATAACCATTATAAATATATATGCACCCAACACAGGAGCACCTACATACGTAAAACAAATACTAACAGAATTAAAGGAGGAAATAGAATGCAATACATTCATTTTAGGAGACTTCAACACACCACTCACTCCAAAGAACAGACCAACTAGACAAAATAAGTAAGGACATACAGGCACTGAACAACACACAAGAACAGATCAACCTAACAGATATCTACAAAACTCTACACCCAAAAGCAGTAGGATACACATTCTTCTCAAGTGCACATGGAACATTTTTCAGAATAGACCACATACCAGGCCACAAAAAGAGCCTCAGTAAATTAAAAAAGATTGAAATTGTATGAACCAACTTCTCAGATGACAAAGGTATAAAACTAGAACTAAATTGTACAAAGAAAACAAAAAGGCTCACAAACACATGGAGGCTTAACAACATGCTCCTAAATAATCAAGGGATCAATGACCAAATTTAAACAGATATCAAGCAATATATGGAGACAAATGACAACAGCACAATGCCCCAACTTCTGTGGGATGCAGCAAAGGCAGTTCTAAGAGGAAAGTATATAGCAATCCAGGCCTATTTGAAGAAGGAAGAACAATCCCAAATGAACAGTCTAAAGTTACAATTATTGAAACTGGAAAAAGAAGAACAAATGAGGCCCAAA